AAATGGCGGTCCAAGTTAGCGAATAAAGTTACTCGGAATGGTCTACAATTTGCAAACATAGATTTAACGTTCTAATTGCACCTTAGCTCGCTAACTCGTTCGCTCGCGTCTCGTTCCTCTTTAAATATCTGAAACAACCGCTGTTTCTCAGGTCGGAACGTTTGTTTTTCTAGGCTCGACTGATTTTACGAGCACGCTATGCATCTTTCGCGTGAACCATAGTAATTCTAACAAGTGTAGCAGGGATATAAAAAGGAGTGAAAGTGGAAGAAAACTCGGAAGACGACTTGGCTCGTAAGAGCTCATTCGCGAGATAATACAGCCATCTTTATGCTCGGGTGATGGATACTAACCGTAGACGTAAACTGGAAAGGATCATTCGGACAACTCGACGATGATATTTCCCAAGTTTGCGTCTATATATGGATGGAGTTGTGTTTATACGTGTACGAGCACAGGGATGAGAGTATCGAGAGCATCTGGATGAAAGAAGAAGTCCGAAGAGGAAGACTAGAAAATGGATTACCTGAAAACTATGGGAGCCGGTACGCAGAACTTGATGAGGATCTTCTTGATGTTGTCATGAAGCGTCTTCTCGTCAAGGTACCAGGAGGTTTGGTCGTGGGCCGAGGCACCAGCTGTGGGATCCGGAGCTCCGCAGTAGCTGTTGATGGTGCTAGGCTGAACCGACAACAGCTCGTCCAACAGACGCTGGGCAGTGGGCAAAATCTGCTGCGGCAGTTCGCTGATGAGATATTGCGCGAACTTCTGCAGTTGTTCCCGGTGCAAACGTGACAAGGATTCGCTAACTGGAGCTCTCAGGCACACCTGTGTCGGCTGAATACGAATAACGGAAGTTAGGTCTTGCGGCCACGTCAATTAGATCGGTGCGTGATCAATTTTCCCAATTCTTTCAAACGCCCAAAGAAAATTCTTGTCTTTGTCTGTTTACGAGTTAGCGGGGTCAGTTGGACCGTCGTGTCAGAAATAGTGTCAGAAATTTTCGAGAGACTGTCAATTGACACTCGGTGGACGGTGAAATTTCTGGGAATTTTATTTGAATCACCGATTGATCCTGATATTGCGAGAGAGTAACGTTCGTACGTTGCTTTTGCCGGAAGGAATTTCGGAAAATATGAAATGATTTTTGTTTACCATGTGGATCCTATAGAGGCAAACGGCGACAACGTGAGCGCACCAATAGGCCTTGGAGGTGCAGGTG